GATAGTAAAGGTTAATATGGTCAAATTCATTGTTAATTAATGCTAAAAGATGAATTTTTTAATCTGTGTGAAAACATCAAAAAAATCACTTATTTTGGACCGGAGGGAGTACTATATTAAAAGCATGAACCCCTAAAGTTAAAAGTTAAATTACTTAAATACCCTTTTAAATATTTTTAAATCCCAATTATTGAAAAAAAGAAAACGCAATGCCTACAAGAGGCAACAAGCAACGCTTCATGCATTAACAGATGCAACTCAGAGCCATTAGTTGTGAGGGAAAAGATGTCCTTAATAGCTAACTCCATAAACTAATCGGTACCAGTCATTGACCCAAAATATGACATTAACCAAAGGCATATCAAATACGTGTTACCTATTTAACCAAACAACATGCTTTTGACTGAATCGAGATATGTCTACGTGCGAAAAAATACTTTATTATGTATGCATACTTTAAATTGCACTAAAATTGTACTTCTTCCGGTTCACAATAAGTGACCAGTTTCCTTTTCGCTCATTAAGAAAATGCTAAATCCTATACAAAAAATTGCACTAAAATTGTACTCCCTCCGGATTAGTTTTTTCATTTATTGTGAGCGAAATGACACCTTGTTGTGACATGCCAAAAAAATATATCATCTTGCATTATTTCAATTCCCATCCTTCCCGTTGCTATAAACTCATTTTTCTCTGTCAAATTTTTTTGATTTGCAATGTATAAAGCACGATTTTACTATGTCCAATCTGACAAACGCTTAAGGTAATTAATCTAATCAAAACTACCTTCAACTTTATATACTAGAGTACTTAGTTCTCCAATATATTTATTTTTCGTTATGAATTCAGCCACGGAACCATTGCTTGCTTCTTCAATTAAGATCTTGCTACTAATATTCGTTTGTTCCTTTCTAATTTAATTTATGTATTTTACATTTAGCATATCAATTAAGATGAATAAACGAGGAGCATTGTTCAATACTTGTAGTATATTTGAGTTCTAAGACAACAAACTGGAACTCTAATGCCAATTACGTTTGTGTTGAGTAAACATAAATAATTCCTTTTACTTGTTAGATGGATAAGAAAATTATAATCCCATCTTCAGCTGAGACCACTAGACCGAGTCATCCTTTTAAACATTCGTGCAAAAAATTACTAAAATTTTAAATTCAGGAAGAATCTTAATTACTCAAGAGAAATATGCACTTGACGACCTTGCTATAAACAATTGAGGAGGAAGATAAATGAGTTATACAAAGGAAGAGGACGGAAAAAAAATCAATGAAGAGTAACATTCATTAACTAAAATTGGTGATCTTTATTTTAGTGAAAATAATATCGACTAATTTGATATTTGAAGTTGTATTTATATATTAAAAAAGGTATTATCGTCGGTGAATCAATCTATATATCACTATTTGTGTTTTTCTTCATATAAAAAGCAACTTGCGCCGGCATAGCGCATGCATTCAAATTTTTTGTTTCGTAGTCTTGTCGTCTTCATTTTAATCCGTAATTGTTCTAATACTTTTATTTTTATTACTTTTCACAAATTATCTACTTATATTTATATATGAACACAATTATTCAATTAAAAAAGACATCAATGCAATCTATACTACAGGTATACGTTAATTCTTTGTTATTATTTGCTTAGCTAAATATTAAGGGTGTGTTGCAAATAAACTTATCATACTAGTATGTTGGTATTAGCTTGTATTGTTCTTAAATATTATCAAAAGGCGTATATGATAGATCCATTGATTATTTACAAGAACTTTTACTATATGCTTTTATGTATAATTGACTTAATATACACGTGCGACACACGTGTCGGGAGACTAGTTTATATATATATAAATATAGAAATTTATACATCTGAACATGCCTAAAAGACTTCGATTATCTTATTTTCTAGTTGTTGTTCTTGCTTTTCTTTACGTGGATTCTTTTCTCTACTCGTCTTTTGTGAGTCGAGGATCTATCGAAAACAACCTCTCTATCTTCACAAATTAAGATAAGGCCTGTGTACACACTATCCTCCCCAGACCCCACTGGGTATGTTGTTGTTGAACATGGCTAAATGATATTCACCATTCAAATAACCATTACAAATGGAATATAAATTATCTGAGAGGATGCAACCCCTAGAGTGAAACCTTTTTATCATTAATAAATAGTTTGGTTTATTCAGCCTATTGGTTTATTCAGCCTAACTCCAGAAGCATTTAATGTCTTAAATGTCAACTATATAGGACATTCTTCTAGAGACCATCTTCACATGCTTTTTTTATTCTTCTTATTTTTCTTGGCTAAAAATAAAAAGGCCTCATCTCATCAACCACTAAAAGTAAAGGGATATTTCCATTTTGGATAAGCTGCAAACTGAAATGGGGATAACAATATTTCCCACAGTTGAGAAGTGCACATCAGAAGGAAGAGAAAAACATACAGTAGTAGCAGACTTGGATGGAACTTTACTACGAAATCGTAACTCTTTCCCTTATTTCGCCCTGGTTGCTTTTGATGTTTCTGGGGTTTTAAGGTTACTCTTTCTTCTCTTAGTCTTACCTGTTGCCGGAATTCTTTACTATTTAGTTTCTGAGTCAGCTGGAATCCAAGTTATTATCTTTACAACTTTTGTAGGGATGAAAGTTTCTGACATAGAGTCGGCAGCACGTGCTGTGCTACCAAAATTCTATTCGGAGGATCTTCATCCCGAGTCTTGGAGAGTTTTCTCATCCTGTGGTAAACGTTGCGTTTTGACAGCCTCCCCTAGGATTATGTTGGAAGCATTTTTAAAGGACTATATAGGCGTGGACATAGTTTTAGGGACAGAGATTGAAACATATAAAGGTAGGGCAACTGGTTTTGTTAAGTCACCAGGAGTTCTTATTGGGAAGAAAAAGGCTGAGATTCTCCGAACGACGTTCGGAGAAACTCAACCTGAGATTGGATTGGGTGATCGTGATACTGATATTCCTTTTATGACATTATGTAAGGAAAGCTACTATGTGCCACCAAATCCAAAAGTAAAAGCTGTTACTATAGACAAGCTTCCTAAACCTGTTATTTTCCACGACGGCCGCCTTGTCCAAAAACCAACACCATTAATGGCTCTTTTTATCATTCTTTGGATCCCTTTCGGTTTCCCTCTTTCTTGCCTGCGAGTTATTAGTGCTTCACTCCTCCCGACCCCTCTTCAATACTACACATTTCGGGCCCTTGGCATCCGTCTCACCATTAAAGGAAACCCACCACCCCGTATCAAGAAATCCGAAGACAAATCAGGTGTTCTATTCGTTTGCTCTCATAGGACACTTCTTGATCCTGTTTTTCTCTCCGCAGTGTTGGGTCGCCCTATTCCAGCTGTTACATACTCCATTTCACGATTTTCTGAGATTATTGCACCCCTTAAAACAATTAGACTCACTCGAGATCGAGCCTCTGATGCTTTCGTTATAAAGAAATCATTAGAAAAAGGTGATCTCGTAATTTGCCCAGAGGGGACTACAAGTCGTGAACCATTTCTTCTTAGGTTTTCGTCATTATTTGCTGCGTTAACCGATGAGCTCGTACCCGTGGCAATGGTGAATAAGATGAGTATGTTTCATGGCACAACAGCTAGAGGATGGAAATGGATGGACTCGTTTTTCTTTCTCATGAACCCACGTCCCAGTTATGAAATTACATTTTTGGACAAGTTGTCGTATGAGTTCACTTGCAAGTCTGGGAAATCAAGCCATGAAGTGGCTAACTACATACAAAAAGTTATTGCTGAAACTCTTTCTTACAAGTGCACTACTTTAACAAGGAAGGATAAGTATATTGCTCTTGCTGGAAATGATGGCACTGTTATGAAGAAGCCTTGAATCAAGGTCTAAAAGGTGATAGTTTTCTTTATAATATAGATAGAGTATCCTTTCAACAATTATGTAAAAAGGTTGTTTGCTAATAAATATTATGGAAAATTATGGCTACCCATATGTGTGAATCTCGAACTGCACATGCAATATGCCAATTCCAACTGCACATGCAATTTGAAGTTAGACTTTAGCAAAGCTCAACTTCAGACTCGTATGTCTCAAGTTTAAAACTTCAAACATACAATTTTCTGCAGATCGGAACCAAGAGCGGACGGAATCGAGTATGACTGAACCCGGAGAGACTCTAGCTCGAGCAATACGAAGAATCGAGGGTAAAGGAAAAAATGGTTAAAGAAGATAATTTGAGAGCCGAAATATCTGCCATCAACCGGATATTACACGCTCGGTATTGATTGTAGATCATGTTTTCGTGAGAGAAAAGGAAGGAAAAGATTTTTACCTTATTTAGATTTGTATTAGGGTTAAAACTCCTCTACTATATAAAGACGGAAACCTTTTTATTTTTGGAGAATGTTTTTGCACGCATATCAAGAGAAAATAAAGGGGGAAAAGTCAAAATTGCCCCTCTACTATTGTTTATTAGTTGCTTGTGCCACCCGTTATACTTTTGGGCCATTCTTGTCCCTACCGTTGATGAACTTTGAATAAATACCCCTAACCCTAACGTTTATACACTGTGGCAGCTGACCAAATGAATTTTATCCAAGTCAGTTGCCATGTCAGCTTCCACATCAACGGGCCTACCAATTTAAAACCCCACAACACCCATATGGTGTAAGACATATAGAAGTAAAAGTGTCCAGATTTTGACATAACTGGTGTAGTGAAAATGTCCAGATTTCTAAATTGAGATTAGGGATACACGAACTAGTCCGCATTATATTGAGAAAATTCATTGCTTCTTCAAAGAGGGAACCTTCACATAATCCTGAAATCATATTAGTATAAATCACTGTATCAGGCACAAACTCTTCCTTGTCAATTAAATCAAGGCCTTCTCTCCATTTACCCACTTTGCACAATGATCGCGTAAAGCTATTTAATGTACGCTTGTCCATCTTAAAATTAAGTGCTGACATCTCCTTGTATATCAAAGATGCAGTCTCCAATCTATTTACTTGCAGAAACACCTGCAACTAAATCCCACAACCCATTCCTGCAACACTTGCTTATCAACACATTAAGCAACTTGCCAAGCACTTCCCTATCATCTTTTCCTATATCTTGAACAAAATGTAATGGGACATCACACCCTATTACATCCAACAAAGCATCATAAACTGATGCATTATGCACATAGCCAATTTGTCTACCAGCCCACATAAAAAACTTAACACCCAGTTCAGGGTTCTGTATATTTCTTAACACATCAACCACTAAACCAGGGTTGAGCTTTTCCCTAAAATGCCTAACAACTCTCTCAGTTCTCTCTCCAAACCCATCATTACCCTTCCTTATTGCATTTATAACCAAGAAAGCATCATCTGAAAACTTACTAATCTCATCTTTGGAGATAACTTCAGCACCCAAGATTGAATCCAATTCTTAGACGGGAAATGAACCACCCATCTTCTTTTCTTGTTGAAAAGATTCATTTTCTGGGAATCTCAGTTCTGGGTCTACCAATGTAACAAGGTTATTCTCGGAGCATATGAATCTTGAAGAGAATTTGAAAGGATGACCAACAAAACGAGAGGGAACTGAGCGCGGAAGAGCATATCTGAACAGCCTTATGGTCATTCTACGGCTAAAGGGTTTTAGGGGTTATGGAAGGAGCCGCGGAGGCGCCGGACGACAGTCGTGGTGTTAAATGACAAGTGGAAGTCATTGGTCTTTTGGAAGAAACTTTTTCTGGTCTTTTGGTCTTTTGTGGGGTTTTAAATTGGTGGGCCCGCTGATGTGGAAGCTGACATGGCAGGTGACTTGGATAAAATTCATGTGGTCAGCTGTCACAGTGTATAGACGTTAGGGTTAGGGGTATTTATTCAAAGTTCATTAACGGTAGGGACAAGAATGACCTAAAAGTATAACGGGTGGCACAAGCAACCAATAAACAATAGTAGAGGGGCAATTTTGACCTTTTTCTCGAAAATAAATTTACTTTGGCTTTCAGCAATTGTCCAAGTGTTATTTAGTTGTATCTGAACTTTATCTTGAGGGCTCGATTGTTAGCATTTAAGCCTAACACGGGGCTAAATTACTTCGACATATTGGTTTGATCGTTTATTCTCATTACAATCCAATTATTTATAGTTCTTTAATCATTTGTGTTAAATTAAACCACATATCTTTTAAACAACGTACAAATTCAATTGTTATCCGTTTTAAGGATAAACAGTTTGGTGCTCACCGTGGGCTAAGGATAATAGTGATAATTTAATACGAATCTTGATAATACATATTATTTTATACTTGTTCTTTGAATTTTGATTTCAGGACTGTTCAATATGTCAGATTCTCAATTTGCTGACTTAAATGTTGACGCCAAATCCGACCACCACGATGAAAATAACAACGGGGAGCTAAGTAACGGCATACTCTCTGTCGACCCTAATGGCGTTCCAAACGCTGACCCAGTCGATGCCAATTCAGAGGTTACTATCAACACTAACCTACCAACTGACCCCAATAAAAACGCTCATGGGGTACCTTGACCCTCGGTTTGCGAGGCACCTAAAAGGAGAGGTGATGAAGCTAGCTTGCGTTTGATTTTTTAGATGTTGCAAGGCAAACAAATTGCTGTAGCACAACTGCAGAGTCAAAATCACAACGCGGTTGAACCGAAACGGGTTGGAGAACCCAACCGGCCCCGGCCCGGGAAATATCCGAGGTGATGAAAATGCTTGAGGAACTAACAAAACGAGTAGAATCCGACGAAAAGAAGATAGAGGCAAATGATAAAAAAGTTAACACTTACAACTTGAGCGTCGATCAGATCACGGGGGCACCTCCGATAGTGAAGGTACCAGACTCCAAAAAGTTCATTCAGAAGCCTTCCCCCGAGCACGACACCAAAGCCTATTCTGAAAAGGTTCCGAATGCACGATATTCCCAAATACAGTGGGACCACAGATCCAAACAAGCATGAGACCTCTTATGCATGTGCAATAAAGGGCAACGACCTCGAGGATGACGAGATCATTCGGTATTACTGAAGAAATTTGGGAAACTCTTTCTAAGGGAGCGATGATATGATATTACAATTTAAGTCAAAACTCTATTGTTTCGTTTTCTATACTTGTAGATGCCTTTGTTAAAGCTCACGCCAGGGCCATTAAAATTGAAACAGGAAATCAGACGTGTTCAATGTTAAGAAGAGGGATAATGAGATGCTTAGGGAATTCATGTCGAGATTCCAAATGGAACAGATGGATCTGCCACCGGCTGCAAATGATTGGGCCATTCAGGAACTTACTCAGGGGATCAACCCCCGAAGTTCGATTGCATCTCAACAGTTGATCCAAAATTTAGTAGAGTATCTAGCGGTTACCTGGGCCAGTGTCCATAAAGGTATCAGTCAAAGTTCAGAGTCGAGGACGACCAATTAGGGACCCTTTTGGGGTCGGGTTATCCCAATAGATCAAACAACAAGTCCTAGTGGACTAGGAGTCGAGGCCACCCCGAGACCGATACCAGCCTTACAACTCAGATAGGAGGGGAAATGCACCCAGTCGCTATTCGACCAGGAATGACAGAAGAAATGATCATGGTCCAAGCAATTGAGGGTTGGTGAATAGAAACGGGTTCGACAAATCACCCGGAGTCAGAGATGCCTTGAAGCTATCGTAATATAACTTCAACGTAGATGCGACAAGTATAGTATCATCCATCGGTTGCATCAAGGAGACCAACTTGCCAACGCAGCTCCAGTCCGATCCAGTACACAGGGATCAAAATTTGATATGCAAATATCATGGCACCGACGGGCATAGAACCGAGGATTGTCGGCAGTTAAGGGAAGAAGTGGATCGTTTGTTCAAAAATGGGCATCTTCGAGAATTCTTAAGTGAGGGGGCCAAAAACCATTTCAAGAACTGGGGGTGGGGGGGAAACAAGAAGGTCGAGCAGGAAAAAACCCCAACATGTGATTAATATGATTATCGGAGGAGTAGACGGATCCCCAAGGTCAGATGATGATACGTACAAAAGTTTCTATCACAAGAGAAAAATGAACTCGAGATAACATTTCGGAAGGATTCATCTCGATTAGTGAAAAGGATGATGAGGCCATCATTCAACCTCACAACGATGCACTAGTAATATCTGTACTCATCAATAAATCTTGAGTTGAATGTGTATTAATTGATCCAGGTAGCTCGGCCAACATCATCTGATGGAGAGTCGTGGAACAACTAGGGCTGTTAGATCAGATCATACCATCAGTTCGAGTACTAAACGTTCATTATGGCGTGCGAGACAACGATGGGAGAAATCACCTTCCGGTCAATACGGCTGGAACCGCCCAACAAGAAAAGTTCTATGTGATTGAGGGGGACATAAGGTACAACGCCTTATTCGGAACACCATGGGTTCATAGCATGAAGGCGGTACCATCGACCCTGCACCAAGAGTTGAAATTTACAACCCCCGGATGAATCAAAATGGTCTACGAGGAAAACCAGCCGCAAAGAGATGTTCACCGTCGAAGAAGTAATCCTTGTACCTGCGATCACGATCTCAAAAGATAAGGAACCGATCAGAGAGAAAGGCACCAAATAGCAATCATAGGTTTCAACCTTGACCAACCCGGGAAAACTAAAGAACCGTCCAATAGACGAGAAAGATGACTTCGGGGTCCCGAGATCCTTCGTAGCACCTGATGACACCGATGCTACCAAGTCAACAATTGAGGAACTGGAACAAGTCATATTGTTCGAGCATTTGCCAGATAGAAAGGTATACCTGGGCAAGGGATTAAACCACAAGCACAGGAAAAAACTCATTGATTTTCTTAAAGCTAATGCCAATTATTTTACCTGGTCGCACTTAAATATGACAGGAAATCCACTAGAGATAACAACTCAAAAATTGAGGTTAGATCTGAACTTCCATCCGATTAAACAGAAGAGGAGGCCACAGTCCGCGGTCAAACACGCAATTCATCAAAGATGAAAACTTTTAAAAATAGGTTTCATTCAGGAAGTTAAATACCGGATTGGCTATCTAACGTAGTCGTCGTACCTTAAAGGGAAACAAACTTAGAATGTGTGTAGATTATAAGGATTTGAATAAGGCATGTCTAAAGGACTCATTTCCTTTGCCTAACATTGTCCGAATGATCGATGCAACGGCAAGGAACGAGATGCAGAGCTTTCTCGATGCCTATTCCAGGTACAACCAAATACAGATGGACCCAAGAAAAAACTTCTTTTATAACTAGGTTCGGCACTTATTGTTATAATGTGATGCCATTTCGTTAAAAAATACCGGTGCCACATACCAACGCCTAGTTAATAGAGTGTTCGAGGATCAAATAGGAAAATCAATAGAGGTTTATATTGATGATATATTAGTTAAGTCCATACGAGCAGAGGACCATGTGAAACATTTGTAGAAAACATTCTGTCACGACCCAAATCGATGGGTCGCGACGGGCACTCGGTACCTTACTTAACTGAGTACCAACATAACATATCTTTCTTATTATACTTTCATTGGCAAATGCGCCAAACTGGCCGTCATGAACTAACCAGAATAGAGGGTAATACTCAATATAGGACGACCCAACCTGATATATAAAAAAAATTATACATGTGACATACGGGGCCTATAAGGCCAACATGATCATTTGTAAACTCAAAATATAGGCTGGCAAGGCCATACAAGCATCCGTATACATGACATCTATATACAAACCTCTAAGAATATCATAAAGGTCGGGACAGGGCCCCGCCATACCAAATACGCGTCTAAATCATACTGACCAAACTAGCAACTCTGGAGCAAATGGAGCGCACCAACATCTTCCGCTAAGCTGATAGCCTACTTGGAGGACTCTCGACCTGTCTATCAGGACCTACGGGCATGAAACGCAGTGTCCCCAGGCAAAAGGGACGTCAGTACGAATAATGTACCGAGTATGTAAGGCACATAAATAAGTACATAAAAGACGTGGAAGAAATATAGAGTAAATGACTCAACCTGTAAGTCTGGATAACTCTGTAAATCATGAAATACTTATAGTGTCATTCATATGTGTATGAATGTCATGTCGTGCATAGGTACATGTGTTCATAACATCATCAAGCCTCTGAGGGCATCCCATCATATCATCTCGGCCACTGTAGGCAAAATCATCAACGTATACTAGTTGATCAGGTGGTGGTGTGCATATAACGCCATAACCTTTCCCATATCCCATATACATATATATACATATACATACGTGTATATAACGCCATCTGGTCATGGGTCAATGTGCATGTATAAATGCATGAAATACATATGAAATACGTTAATAAAATCTCTCGGTACGTCATAAGACCATTATGCCTCTGATTAATATCATTAAATAAACTTTACCAACTTACGTATTTTTGAGACCCATGAACAGATGATAGAATAATATGACACATGGGAGAATAAGAATATACACATCTCTGGCATTTCTACGAATAGAGTAATTTATGAAAGTTGTGCATTTGCTCGTTTCGCTCGTGTCTTATTGATCATGCCAAAAAGAAAGAAGGGATAGCCTTAACATACCTGGAGTAGGGAAAAATCCGTATAATATTCTTGGA